CCAAAGGATGATTAACCTACTGTGAAAAATGTAGGAGGAGTTCAGGGAAGAAGGGGCTTTTTGTATAAAAAAAACGTCATTTTTCGACCCCCATTTGATCCCCCAGGGCAAAATCAAAATTCCGAAACCGTACTGCACATCGACATGACACCCCCAACCACCTCCCAAAGGATGATTAACCTACTGTGAAAAATGTAGGAGGAGTTCGGGGAAGAAGGGGCTTTTTGTATAAAAAACGTCATTTTTCGACCCCCATTTGATCCCCCAGGGCAAAATCAAAATTCCGAAACCTTACTGCACATCTACATGACACCCCCAACCATCTCCCAAAGGATGATTAAGCTACTGTGAAAAATGTAGGAGGAGTTCAGGGAAGAAGGGGCTTTTTGTATAAAAAACGTCATTTTTCGACCCCCATTTGATCCCCCAGGGCAAAATCAAAATTCCGAAACCTTACTGCACATCTACATGACACCCCCAACCATCTCCCAAAGGATGATTAACCTACTGTGTAAAATGTAGGAGGAGTTCAGGGAAGAAAAGTGTGACAGACGGACGGACGGACGGACGGACGGACGGACATGAGTAACAACAATATACCCGAACTTTCTTTCGAAAGTGCGGGTATAATCAGCTATGACAATGCAAACCATCAGGACATAGCAGTAGGATCAGGTTCAATATGTGTAATTCGTTCCATAACGCAGTGACCATAAACTGGAAAGTTTTCTTTTGGATTATATACTTTGAATGTGTATGTATACCCAATAAGTTTTTTAAAAAGTACACATATGAAAAGATCGTCGGATTTTTTTTTATATTACATAATTGTTTCTTAACTTGGAAATATTTTAGCTGGAGAGACTCTGCCGATAGCATAAAACCTATGGAGATAACAAACTGTATTCAAGATCAAAAGACCATCAAACAATACAAAACAGGAGCAGTTGGTGGTATGGGGAATGAGCACCCTCTGCCGAACGATCACACCCACTCAGCTATGTTAAGAACCGATAATGAAAATGTGACCTTTGCACTGTTTTAATGTGCATTACTTCTTTTAAAAATTGTAACATAGCAACAGAATACTTGTAGAAAATGTAATATAGCTATCAATAATAGATAGGACTGGGCGGTAGTTATTACCAGTTATATCGCATGTATCAGCTGTTCTTCACGTGACTTGTATAAAAATAGACTTGTTCAGTTGCATGTAAGAAATGTGTATAGTGCAAGGGCATATGCATTTTTTCAAGAAAAAATTGATACACATTAAAAGATGATTATTTCCTCTGCTTAAAAGTGCTGGGAGCACGTCTGTGCTGTTTGCGAAATACTGAAAATTTGCCGAAAATGCTTATGATATCTAAAAATTTCAAATTTCGCTCAAATTCTGTTAGAAATATAAATAAAGTTATGCAGACAAAGATAAGTTCTCAGCACTGTTAAAAATATACACTATATAAGCAATAAATATTCCAAATTTCATCTCAAACAAAATAGTCTATGCCCTTGCACTTTTGATGTAAATCAGCTTTACGCTAATCGTTTTAGCGAAATTCTCTACTTTCCGTGTCCCTGTGCAGACCCAGTTCTACTACATAAGTTCGTATTTTATACAAATTGTATTCAATAGATTATTTTCTTTACGTTTTAAAGATTAGATTTCAAAATTACCGATTATATCATATTTATTTAATCATTCTAGTTATTATTAAACCTGTTAATCTAGTCCTCTGCAACACCTCTGATGCGTCACGTCAAGGCTTATGACGTCATATTTGACAAAAGACTTTCTTTTTCTACTTTACTGTATTGCTATCAAGTAGGGATGGCAATTCTTAACCGGTTAATCGATTAATCGGTCGAAACGATGCTAATCGGTTAGAAAATCCGTAATCGGTTAGTCGGAAAAATAAAAAAAATATATGTAAATTGAATATATTTTCTTAAATTTCACTTTTAAGAAAGGAAAACATTGCTAAAAGTTCATTTAGCGTTTTTACATATCTTGTAATTAAATAATTTGGACGTATTTATAGCTCTCCTGATTGAGATAATTGGTCAGTTTGTAAAGTGTTAATTGCTGTTTTTTAAAACATCATGTTGTTACTCGACTGTCTGCATGTGATTTTTTAATGATAGTAAAAACATCACCATTTAGCACTTTAAACTAGTATGTTTATGTATTTTGACGTTCTCTATCAAATTATATTACAAAAAAGCGATGTAAATACAGAGAGAGTTTTGATCATGGTGACAATGCGAAATTAACTTTTCACGTTTGCGTTGGAAAAATAACCGTGACTGATTCTAAAGATTCGTGCTTTTCCTCATTTTTTTTCTTGTATAATGAAATTAAAATAATATATACTCTTATGCTCATAAAATATCCCGATCAAGATGATTAACAGAATGAAAATTATAAAGTCTTATAACCTTCTTGTGTATATGAAGAAATGTCTAAATGTATGACCATCTTGATACGACTAACCGGTTAATCGGTTGGAACGTCTTGCGGCTAACCGACTAGCAATTCTGTAATAGATTGCCATCCCTACTATCAAGTATTGCAATGTTACAAAATTTTATAAATACTTGATAAAATTCATCAATTCAAGTTTTTAATTCCGCATCATCATGTCGTAAATTACTTTTTGTGGCTTGTTAAATTTCATTGACGTCACAATCAACTTACAATAGGGTGTACCAGGAATGTGAACTTTGACATTCCTTAAAAAAGTTGAGTGCCGTGTGTTTTTTGTCATAATCGGGAAATAATGGGAAAATCCGTCGTCAATTTAGTGTATGAATAAAAGACTAACAATTAGTGCAGTGTATGATAAACGTCAGTCAACATTTGACTAAATGAAAAATTGAATTTGTCATTGTGTTGACAATTAAGCTTACAAAATGATGTGTAAAATGAGTCTATAATTTTTTGGAGCTCGATTTGCAGAGTTTTTAGGTTTGTAGCAATAAACTCTCTATTATATTAATGATAATTGATGACTGGCCATACATTAAGAAATATTATTTGTTTGATTGTAATCATTAATAAAATTGTATATTAAAACTTATCTAATAGTGTTGTGTTTTGCGTGCAATATGCCTATATAGTAGTCAGGATTTGACACATGGTGCACGAGCCGGAGGCTGACTACTATCTAGGAAAAGTGCAACAAAACACAATACCATTGTTATTATTATGCTGACTGTTGTTACTGTAAGAATAAGTATCATTTTCTCCCTTCCCAATTTGTCATCATCTGTTACATTCCTCTATTCTATTATGACGTCACCTTGTACAACATGTAGGTTATGATCTTTTTCTTTAGTTTTGAACATTCCATACCTGAGGTATAATCTACAGATAGTTTTAGAGAATAGAATTGGAGTGAAGGGAGGGGGTTGAAGGAAACTATTTTAGAAGAAATATTTTGTTTATTTTTTTTCTTACGTGTTAAATATTATATGATATAATATAATATAAATGAGATATGTTTATAAATGTTGTAATAAAATATTATAGATAAGTGCTTCTGTGGCGTAATCGATTGTGCTTTGGACTAACAATATCGGTGTCGCGAGGTCGCTCCCCGGAATAGGCATTGTCGGATTTTCTTCATAAATGGAAGCCGTGCACTATGTTGGCATACTATGCTTACGCTTTATAAATTCTTAGAACACTATGTTAGAAAAGATGGATATGTGTTATATAAAGACAAACTGACAGGAAGCATAATGATATTAAATAGTCATTGTTCTTCTGTGCAAATTTTAAAAAAATTGTCAGGTGTTACTATGGGATGCATGATCTGAATTTTGATCTATTTTTAACAGATGACCAAAATTCAATCTAAGGGAGTTGTATTTCCAGTAGACAGGTGTCCGGTGAATGTATCTGAAGTTGAATATGCAACCAAAAGACTGAACTGTTCGGGATTTGACAAGTTTGAAAACACGTATCATTGTCTGCCATTGTCTGACTTATCTCAACTTGTAGAACTATGCTACTTTACCAGCTTTTTGATCGAAAAGGGTAAAAAAAACTTTCTTTTATAATTACCAACTGACTTTGAAAACAAAAAAGAACTATTTAATAGGCATATTATTTGGATTCAACAAAAATCCTTTATACATTCTTATAAAAAACTACTAAGTAGCAATTGAAATCAAAATGCACTCCTTCTTGTTTTATCTTGAATAGTTTCTTCTATTATATTTGTCAAACAGTCAATTTTAATTTTTTGAGTTTAAAATTTCAATAAATCAAATTACATATGTTTTTAGCCACGAATAAATATCATATGTGTACTGTTAACATACTTGATTAAATTCTTGATCTTCAGGAAATTGCATGGTACTACAATCTGGATATTTAAACAACCAGTCATGTTTACATTTTCCTGAAGGCTGTCCTAAAAAAACCCTACCAGTCCAAACTGATGATGGATTGTGAGTGTTATTATGATCAATTATTTAAGAAATGAACATTTTTTTTCAGTGAACATGCGATTATGAGCAATTGCGTGCATCATGAAAAATATGCCAGTAGAGCTATTCATAATGCCATGTTCATTGAATAATCGTTGTTTATTATCTATATTGCATTCTTTGAAGAATATCAGAGGTAATATTGGCTTACATAAGGACAAGGCTGCGTGTCTTCATTAAGTATAACGCACGGGCTAAATTTTATAAATCAGTAGACCTGATTTAGTGACCTTTTTTGATTTATTTTTCCACGCTTTTAAAAAGTCATCTCAAAATATTACCAACCGTGTGTTCCTAACATATACTGTCACTGTTTCCACAACAAAACATTCCTTGTTATAGTTGTTCATCACCGTCCTGGCCCCGAAATTTAGATCATCGAAATAAAAATAATCGTCTATTTATACTGCCATTTTGCTTGATTTGCAAGATAATTCTGTCCAACGCGCAGAAGTCAACTACGAAAATACTTGAAAAGATGAAAAAAGAATGTTTTTGAATTTTTTTTTTAGATTGAGGCAAGAATTAATTAAGAACTAAACGCAACTTTTTGTGCGTTATGAATAGGCATTTTTTTTCAATGGGTGTGTAGACCATGTCGGTACTTGGGTTCATTATGAACATGAATTAAAACACAAGTCAATCAGTGGTGGTTTGACAAGTATATTATTTATTGATGGAAATATAATAAAAACCTGAAATAAAGTCATTATAATTAATACACATTTACAAATCCATACTGACTGTCATTATAATTAATACACATTTACAAATCCATACTGACTTTACTTTTAAATTACAAATATAATAAGATATAGATAAGTAATAAATATATTTACCAGGCACACTATATAAATCAGCTACTAATGTATAGGATGACTATTCCCGTCAAGGGTGTAGCGCCGAGTGTGCATGAAAATGGTTAGCCGCGGGAAAGTTAGTGAAAAGTTATTAATAGAAACTGGTCAAACCGGAAATGGTCAAATACGTCACACCTAACAAACATAAAAGCTCACACGTGGACATTCACACAAGACAATACAAACGTAAACACACATAATAGAAATAATTAAAACATTGAAACTGAAACATTTAATTACTTACACTGGTTACAGGTCGCATGTAGTTCTCCGGTCGGTCAATATATTATTCGGAAAGCTACAGTTCTGTAGCTATATGCTAAGAAGTAAACATGTTAATTACGCTTGTATCTCTCTCTTTCTCCCTCCTCAAAGAAAATGACGCTGATGTTTGTGCGTACAAAGATACTGCTGGACGCGCAGCTGTTCTCACATTCATCTTTATCAAGATCTTCACATTTAAAAAATCTTCTTAGTAAAATTTGGAAAATTTAATTATTGAGTAGATTTTCAAAGAACTGTCTTCTTTGAGTACTTCATTATTTCGCATAAAATTCTATTATTAACTACTTAAAAGTACTTATCTAATATAAACTTATTTTTGTAATTCATCATTTCTACATCATATTCGAACCAAACTTTACTCTGTCCCTTTGAAACTTTTAAATAGTCTTCTTGAAAAGACCAAGGAACATCCAAATTTAGATTCCTCGACACCTGAATATAGGCTCGGTTCTGTGATTATGGATATTGCACATCATAGGCTTTTTCAACCCGCACGTTTCATGGAAGAAAATGCAGCTAAAACAATCCGTCTTTTCCTTACACTTCAATATGCCAATGAAGGAATTGACGCGGTTAATATAAGTAATATTCTTAATCACAAAAGGGTCCAGTCTTGTATTCCACCATATTTCAAGTTAAAGACTACGCCTTGTATTTCCTACAAATATATATCGACCAATGCTTCCAAACTTTTCAATTACAAAAACACTTTACATGGCCTGGATTTCGACTATCTGAAAAATAATCCCCTTTCGTGTTCATGTTCTTCTTCGCCCTATAACTATAGTACTGCTGGACACGTTATTACAGGTGACGTAAAAATAGTTCGTAATGAGGACCTTAGATCACTTATTTTAAAAGGTCCTAAATATAGGGAACCCCGATCCTTCAACTGGCGTCGGAATTTCATAAATATTATGGATTCTGTTGAAAATTACGTCAGACGATGGGCTAGATATGAAAAAGAAGACATTGACACCTTGTCAGAATGGATTAAATGTATCAAATCCATGTTAAAGTCACGTTTTAAAAGATTGAGGGGCAAAATGAAAACCATCTATCCGTCTGTGTTCAATAAACCAGAAGTGAAAAAAGAATTAGATAGATTACACGATCAGTACGTACTGGTTCCTGCCGACAAAGCAGGTAACAACATTGTTTTCGATTGAAAGACTCATTATATAAATTGCATTCTAGAAGAACTTGGATTTAATTCTACAAGTGGTAATCCTACTTAAACATATACTTCTCTTTCTAAGGAAGAATTTCTTCAGAATCACTTGTCAGTTTTGAATACTTTGAATATTCCACAGAGCCAAAATGAATTTGAACTACCTTATATATATTGGATTCCGAAACTTCATAAGAGTCCTTACAAACAAAGATACATTGCAGGTTCCAGTAAATGTTCAACCAAGCCTCTTTCGTTACTTCTCACTAAAATATTGACAGTAGTGAAGGAAAAACTTCAAGAGCACTGTACAACTATATATTCAAGAAGTGGTGTAAATCAGATGTGGATACTTAAAAATTCTAAAGAACTTTTGGACAATTTGAAATCACAAGACTTTACAAAAATCAACAGCATAAAAACTTACGACTTTTCAACTTTATACACAACAATTCCCCACGACAAATTAAAATCCAGGCTTTTTGAAATCATTGACAGCTGCTTCTTCAACAAAAAATGGAACTCGTAAGTTTACTTACCTCGTCATTGGTCATTTGAAAAATTATTTTGTCAAACCAGATTCTGATTGCACACATAAGTACTCTGAAGTTGACATCAAAAAGATGCTTGAGTTTCTGATCGACAATATCTATGTGGTTTTTGGAGACCAGGTATTCCAACAATCTATTGGAATTCCCATGGGTACAAATTGCGCTGCGTTATTAGCAGACTTATTTTTATATTCATATGAAAAAGAATTTATGCAAAATCTTTATGTGAAAAGAAGAGAACACTTGCTGTGGCCTTCAACTCGACATTTAGATATATCGACGACGTATTGTCAATTAATAATGATAATTTTCATTCCTACGTCGACACGATATATCCTGGTGAGCTTGAGATAAAAGATACCACAAAGTCCGACACTTCTGCTTCATACTTGGATATTTTACCTGAAAAAGAAACTAATGGTAATCTAATAACCAAGCTATATGATAAACTTGCTGACTTTAAATTTTCTATCGTCAACTTCCCTTACTTATGCAGCAATATACCTTCATTACCTGCATACTGAGCATTTATATCTCAGTTGATTCGATATGCAAGAGCATGCTCTACGTATGAACAATTTCTTAAACGAGGTAAATTATTGACAAGCAAGTTGATGAAACAAGAATATCAACAGTCTCTTTTAAAGTCATCATTTCGTAAATTCTATGGTCGATACAATGACTTTGTCAGCAAATACAATTTATCATTAAATGAAATGCTGACTGACGTTTTTCATACCAATTGTTAGTCCATTATTTATACACTGAATTGACCACGGATTTTTCCGTTATTTCCTAATTATGACAACGAGCAAACGGCGGGTGTGACCGGTCGGCAGGGGATGCTCATTCCTCCATGGCATCTGATCCCATCTCTGATGTTTCGGAGGTCCGTGTTTGCTCTGCTCTTATTTTGTATATTTGTTTAATTGAAGTTGATTTTGAATACTGTTCGTTATTTCCATATCCTTCTAAAGACAAAAAGTTTTTAAAGATTTTTCGCCATCTTTAAGCGATTTTGCTTTAGATCTCACTATTATTTCCTCTTGTTTTTATGTCTGTTGATACATTTTGAATTTTGCATTTATTTCATTTAATTAAGGTTATATTTTTTTATTTTTTTTCAGATGAAACAGCTAACATTTTCTTTGTTTTGTCTACTTTTCCTCGTTTTCCTTGTTTTAAATTTGAATATCTAACAATCAAGCCTCTTTTCGTTCAATTGTGTCCAATGTTAATTGAAAAACAATTTATGTTGTTTTTTTTTGAATTTTCACAACGAATCCCACATCTCCTAATATTGACGTATTAATTTTTCAGAACCGAAGTCCTTTATTATGATTGGCTTCGCCTTTCAAGATACATGTATAAAACTACGACCTGTTTTATGATAAAATGTTTATGTCTGATTTTTCATGTGAAGAGAGAAAACATGGAATGATAATAAATCTTTTCAAAGAACTATTTGGTTTCTACATAAATATGTCTAATAAATTTAACCTTGGTCGTGTTTTCTCCATAAACATACAATTCAAAATATTTAAAGCAACTAAAATTACGACCTCCAGTCGTACCATGTTTTCTATATTGTAAATGAGTTGAAATAACATCACGGCCATGACAATATTTTCAAAGTCATGTGGCTCTATTACTTATCAATAATGATTTGGAAGAAAAACACCTGACAGTTTGACTAATCCTTCCTTGGAGCCTAAATATTTGTTAAAATAAATTTGGTTTTATTGATGAATAAATTTATATGTAACATTCAATGCCCATTATCCTGTGCAGCTCGATGTTCCAGATTAACCTCTTTGATCATCTCCATATCAAGAACTAGTAATAAGAGATACGATGTAATAACATCTATTTTGCAGTAGCTGGATTACCTTTAATAACATTGTCGCATTAGCCCTTCATAGCTTAAAATCTGACAAGTATTCACAAGTTAAAATGACACATGTTGTTTAAAAGTTGCCTGTCTCATTGAATTGATACCTGCTTAACAATGTTTTTTTTTACTGCTGATTATTTAAAGAGCATTTATTGTAACAGCTTTACCGGGGTATAGTTATGTTAAATTACAAAAATAGAACTGTTCTGAAAAAAAAAATAACTTTTTCTTCTGCTTTTTGTTAAGTTCCAGTTTGCACAAAAATCAACAAACAAAAAAGATGTTATATAGCAGACCCTGCCTGTCCGAATCTAACCAGGTAATTTTACAAAGAAAACTACATATTTATTGTAAATAATATACCATGCTCATGTATTAATCCAATCATGACACAAAAACGTAACTTTTGTAGTGACTTTAAAGAATGGACCTTTCTTACTACAACCGATACAACCACGCTATCAAGTACCACTTCTACCGATCAGGGAGATACTTCTATTGATAAAAACTGGGTAGCGATACTAACGGGTGTTATAGGTGTAATTATTTTCATATTCATCTGTTCAGGATTTACTTGGAAACGTTTTCGAAATGCAAAGAAAAGGGGTAAATTTTATTTAATGTAATCTTTATCTTTTTTTTGTTTTAATTTTCTATAAAATCCAGTACATATACTGTCGAACTATGCAAAAGGAAAATAAATAAATGAATAGGAGAATATCAAATGTTTTAAAACAACTTTTAAAGCGCGTCTCTCTTGTTGTATAAATCTGAAAATAATCAAGAGAAAAGATGTGATATTTAATGTATTCTATGTGTACACGTAGACAAGCCATCTTCTTTAGATGTGCGCTATACAAGATCCAGGAAGAATCAACATCCTGAAACAGAAGGTTTATTTCAAGAGATAGTAAATGAACAGATGAGAGGAGGGGGTAAGTCACGGAGGTCTGATATTAGCCTCTAACACTCTCTATAGTTTTACCTCTCTGATTAAATAAGTCGTATAGAGTATTTTATTTTTTGAGAGTATAGTAATGTCTGAGGAGGTATTTTCTAAAAGTATATATAAAATGAATTGGAGAAGTTTTGATAAGAGATTCTTATTGAAGCGATATCGTCTCTCTATGTATTTTTTTTCAAAATAAATCCCTCTCCCTGTATTGTTTTGTTTGAATCATAAACATCATGTAAATGTCATCCGTTTTCATCCTACAATATAACTGCATATACATATTCATCTTTGCTAGCCAAGTTTTTCTGATACGCTACTCTCCTCATAAACCCAATTCATATGATGATGAGAAAAGAAGTGGTTGTTTTCGTCATGATCTCAAAATCGAACTTTTTGTAGGGCCGTATGCCAGTAGTTTATGAGAAGAGCAGATATCAGAAACCCTTAGCTAGCAAAGATTATCAATAAACCTCAGTACAAGATAGCTAGAAAATGCATGGGGAAAAAATAAAAAAAATCATCATAAACATTGAATTCCAGTTTAAGGGTTTATTAATATGTTCAAAATAAATTCAAATTTTATATTTTGAGTCACTCTTAAAAGGGGTCATTTTGCCTCCCTTCAATTTTGCATTCGACGTGAAGGGAGGCATTTTTGTCCTTTTTTCACTTTTCAACGACAGAAAATGACTCCCCACACGTTCTCTGAAAATTTTACCACGATGAAAAATGACCCCTTTTTAGAGCGACCAAAAATTGTAAGGTTAAATTGATACTAGGTATCAATTAATTCATCCACAAAATATAACATTTTTGCATTTATACCGTTTACGGTAGCTCAGTCGGTAGAGCGCTCGCTCCGTGATCGGGAGGTCGTGAGTTCGTATTTCGGCCGCGACTGACCTAGTCCTTAAAATGGGTAGCAACTGTTCCTTCGCCATGCGCTCGGCACTTTGAAGGGAAAGTTGCGAGTCCTTCGGATGAGACCTTAAAAACCGAAGCCCCGTGTCAGCGGCAGGTGTTGGCACGATAAAGATCCCTCACTGACCAATTGCCCTGAGTGCCGAGTAAAGGTCAAAATTTGAAGCCCTTCACCGGCATACGGTGACGTCTCCATATGAGTGAAAAAAGTCTCGAGAGAGACGTTAAACAACATACAATCAAACAATCATTTTTGCATTTTAAAGAATTTTTACAACAAATCCATATAAAGTTTTAAAAAGAACGTGTACAATTTTTAAAAATTTATCATTAGTTGCAGTTGTTGACTCAGAACCCCTGGCTTGCAAGGATGAAAATAGGGAAGTATCATCATAGAACTAATGAATCAAATACAAGTGCCAGAAGTATCAAAATGCAATTTAGCAACATGCTAATATCGTGTATCTTTGTCATGGATCTTTGTCACGTTATGTGATAATTGTCTAGGAAAGTAACAATTTAAAAGAAAAAAAATGCTGTGCTATTTGCCACTGTTAAAATTAATTTTTCAAAACAATAATTACTTAAGCCATTTTTCTCAAAAAAATTGAACAAGTTATTACAATTTTTAGGCTCTGTTATTCATATCATACAGTTCGATATTTTTGATTCCATATTTTATGCAATATCGTCTTGGAAAGCAGTACGTGGAATCACTTTCAAGAAAAATAACATAAGTTCATGAATATCCAAGGAGAAATAAAAAAAAGAATAAAAACCTTATAAAACCATTAAGACAAAGTATAAAGCAAATTTTGAACTCTTTTTGATGATTTTTATTTTTGTTGTCAAAAAAGAAGTATTTCATTGAGGCGATAAAAAATAAACACAATTTAATAGTCAATACTACTTGATCTGACACTTATTTTGGATCTCACAAATCAAACCAACGATTTTAATTAATATCATTATAAACTTGAGGGAACTGGCTATCATCTAGTGAGCTAACAGCTCAAAGTGCCTCTAGTTTTGACTATCTATAATTTGTTTAGATACTTTACGGATACATGTGTGAAGTTGTACATGTATAATGGAATGGTCTTCAATGATTTTTTTCTATTATGCTTCAATATGGAGAAAATGTTACAGAACTAAAATCAAATGTTCTGATTTTCATAATAAACGCTTTAATATATGCATAACAGAGTAAACGGGTGGAATAAGCAAGATTTAAACTGTAGGTACTGTGAGCAATGAGTTCACTAAATGATTCCCCCTCCCATATGATTATGTCTCTGCTTTGCTCTGGGGAACATGAAAGGGGTGTTAGATGAAAAAGTAAACTAGTAGAACACATTTTATTGCGTTATATGTATCCGATCAAAGGTAACATAAAAAATGCACAATAACACCTTGTAACACAATGCAGCAAAGGTTCTGCATGTGAAAGTGTTATTGAATTAAATGCATCGGTGTAAGTGGAGCTGTGGATTCAAAGCGTTTTGAAAGGACGGACATCTCGATCATGATATATCCTCCCGCTTTTCTATAAGGGGGTATAATACTAGCAGGTACCAATTTACAGGAAAACATACTGATGGAAGACAGGAAAACACCATCTACTGTTACCGAGATCCATATTTCAAGATTTATATTAATATATTCATATGGGAGGCGGTAGGATTATTTAGGAGTAGAAGGTGGATATGATCTTATGAAGCATAACACTTTTAACTAGAGGTACTGTGAGCAATGAGCTCACTAAATGATACCCCCGCCTCCCATAATGTCCATGTGTTGCTAAATAATGTTTTACGGTAATGTGTAAGGAGGAATAAGTCGTCCTATCAAATGTTATTCAGAAGTTCTATAGTGACGTCATGGGTAAACATATAATGGCAATGTCCATGTTTTGCTATCGGAAACCTAAAATATGTGTCGAATAAAAAAGTAAAATAGGAGTTGCACAATGGCAATATGTAAAAGATTCTGTGAAAGTTTCATTAAATTTCACTCAGTAGTATAAGAGGAGTTGCGGATAAGAGATAAAGCATGACAGTTGGTCGGACGGACAGCTAGACGTACGGACAGATATACTAACCCTAACCCTAACCCTAACCCTAACAGATATACCGATTATTATATACCCCCCACTTTTCAAGAGGGGGTATAATAAGTCAATGACAAAAGACTTAACACAAGATCCACATCAAGAGAGTATCTGTTGAGTGATGGAGGCTCGTTTGCGAGTTTTCTGAAATTTCAACAATTTAGTGTACAATAGATAAATCAAACATTATAGCATAGCACTATTAAATCTTATTCGTTATAACTAACATTTCAAATGCCGTGTGAGATGATATTTGAACTATAAAAAACACGATGTTCTAAAATTAGTTTCATATTTGAGAATAGTACAAATCATATTTGCATTAAAACTGTACCATTTTGTATCATACCATAATCATTTGTGATTTTTTTTTAAAAGTCTGTGTGATTACCTCTCAGTATTACACTATATGATTAACTTTGTTGTTTGACATATTGTAAATTGTAGATATTGCGTCTCAACATGCAAGGTCTGAAGATTCAACACTAAAGGAGTCACCAAGCCAAGAGGGTCTGTTGTAGATTTATCTGAAATCATCTTCCAATTAAAAATCACATTTTTCTTTAACAAAACCTATATTTAGAGAATTACTCTATAGACTTTAGCAATATATGACAGTTGTGCAGAGATGGTGATAGTGGGGTTCTTGGGGGTATATTTCAATCATTATTTCAAGTAATTACAAAGAAAAAACCTATTTATATCACACGATTACATTAGATGTATAACATTCATCATCTTTTATGCTTCAAAAGTGCTTTTATGTAATTCAAAATTATATCCATAAAACATTAATCCCGTTACTTGCACGTATATTTATATATTTTGCCGAAGGAGTTCAAGAATAAACAAATAAAAAAAACAAGAATTAATCCAAACTAAAAATAGCCAGAAATTTGAAATATTGATGGAAATGGGGAGTACGCAGGAACACGTGTAAATTTTAAATCGGTTTTGTTTATCGTCTTTTATTTCTTTTATAACTTCTTTTATAACTTCATTATTCTGAGTCCTCAGCTACTAGTAATTAATTAAAAGTAGTGTCTTATTCATACATTGATTCGTTACACGATTAGAAAAAATACCACAGAGACCGCCACGTTTGTTGGATATTTGGATGTTCTTTTTACAATAGACGCAAAGGTCAACTAACCATTAAATTGTATTAAAAAAACAAGATGAATTGCAATTATACATCACCAGCTGTCCGTATTTATATAGTTATATAAAAATGCAATTTGTTTATACGAGTAGTAATATGAAATATAAAATAATGTAAAAACAGTCATTTATCACCTGTGAAATGAGCATAATATTTCTCTACTTTTTCGATACTTCAGATCATGTGCTAAATATGGTCAATTTTAAAATCGAGGCAAGTTTCTCACATATAAGTTCTCTGAAATTTTAACAAAAGAGTGGATAATCGATATGTTAATCATCATAGAATAGCACTAATAAATCTAATTAGTCAAAGTTAACAATTCAAATGTCAAACGAAATAAAAGTTCTTCATTGTGAAAAAAATACCATGTACGTAAATTAATTTCATATATTATTATCATTTAGAAATATATTTGCATTGAAACGGCATCATTTTGATGATTTTTTTATAAACTCCATATGATTATCACTAGGTTCTACACTGTGTAGTTTACTTTGTTTTCTTGTTTTTTTTTTAAATATTGAAAGTTGTAGATATTGCCTCTCACCATGAACAATCTGAAGTTTCAGCACAGGTGGCACATCTGGAGAGAGTGAAAGAGTCACTTAAGGAAGGTTTGTTGTCGAGCTTTCTGAAATCAACATCTTGCAATTATAGAAACCATTTTTTTATTAACAGAACCTAAATTTAGAGAAATACTTTGTGGACTTTAGTATTGAATGGCTTTTGTGTAAAGTTGGTGGTAGTGGGGAAGGTTTATGTAGGGGGGGGGGGCAATAATTATTTCAACTTATTAAAAAGAACACTATATATTTATATAACTTGATTGTAATCGATGTATAACATTCACTATCTCTTGAGTAAAAACAATTGAAAAAAATACATATATATGATTCAAAATTATTTACGTAATTCATTAATCCCGTTAAGAGCATATTTACATATTTTACCTATAAAGTAGGATTCAAGAATACACTAAATATGAATTCACCCGTACTAGGAATATTCAGAAATGTAATATATTGATAGAAATAGGGACCTCTAAAGAAGGATATGGAGATAACGAACGGTATTCAATATCAAACAATACAAAATAGGAGCAGAGCAAACACGGATCTTAAAACATCAGAGGTCGGATCAGGTGCCATGGAGGAGTGAGCATCCCCTGCTGACCGGTCGCACCCGCCGTGTGCTCATTGACATACATGTAATCATGAAATAACGGGAAAATCCGTTGTCAATCTAGTGTATAATGATGGACTAACAATTGGTATGAAAAACGTCAGTCAGCATTTGACAAGGTCATTGTATCGACCATAAAACTTACAAAATGATGACTTAAAACGAGACTGCTGATATTCTTGTTTCGTCAATTTGCTTGTCAAAAATTTACTTCGTTTCAAAATTGTTCATAAGTAGAGGAAGCTCTTTCGTATCGAATCAACTGAGATATATACACTACGTATGCATTTGTTGAAGGTATATTGCTGCACAAGTAAGGGAAGTTGACGATAGAAAAGTTAAAGTCGTCACGTCTATCAAATAACTAGGTTGTTAGGTTACCACTAACGTCTATGAAACAGATGTGTAAGAATCTGTGGTATCTTACATCTCAAACTCTCCTGGATATATCGTTTTAACGTAGGAATGGAAATTGCCACTGTTAATTGACAACACGTCGTCGATATATCCGAAGGTCGAGTTAAAGGCCACAGCAAGTGTTTCTTCTTTACATGCATAAAATTTTGCATAAATTCTGCTTCATATTAAAACAAAAATAGGTCTGCTTATAAAAGAGCGCACTTGGTTCCCACTGGAATTCCAATAGATTGTTGGAAGACTTAGTCTCCAAAAACCACATAGATATTGTAGATCATGTGATTTTGAAATCAGTTTCGCTTATCATTTTTCATTATATTTACCACCATTAGCTTGTTGAAAGCTGCCACCATAATCGGGACTCAGGGCCATTGAGCAAAGATCTTTTCCGCTCAAGCATCTATTGCGATAAGGGAGCACGGTTCTTAAGATCTGATCCAAAGGACCGGTCTCCACGTCCCACAGTGATATTCAAACCTTTTACGCAAAGATTAAGTCCTTATTCCCCGACTTGTCTAGAGCAGACATTCAAACCACAAGCGGTCGACTATTTACATTACATAAATATCGTTTCTGACATTCTTGCAAGGAAATTTAAACCCTATCAACTGAAAACTTGTTTAAAGAGAATTTTTTGTTGGTAAAAGTTTTCATTCACTCTAACCATTTCATAAGTAAAAAGGTGCATTCCTCTGAAATATCACTATGTTATCAACTGAATTGTTTATAATACATTTAAAATTTATAGACACAACTTTAGATGAATATATTCTTGAAAGTTGGAGGCAGGAGGACAGCCAGTTTGTCCCTACGACAGCAAGTCAATTTGTAGAAGATAAGATTAAAAGTCAAAATCTTGTCACAGTTGTCGGTAATTCTGGATGCGGGAAAACGGCAGTCATCCAGCACATTGCACTTAAATTAAAAGAAGAAGGATGGGTTATCAAACCTGTCGATGAGGTCAGAGAAATAAAAGACTTATTTTCTACTGCAAGTTTACCACATAATGAAACACTGTTTGTCCTAAATGATCCTATTGGTAAAGAGACTTTAGATGAAATTTCATATAATTCATGGAAAACATATGAGAAAACAATAGTGACTCGCTTGGAGAAAGTTAAATTATTGGTATCATGTAGAAAAAGTGTCATTAGTGACAAGAGATTAGAAGGGATTCTGAAAAAGGACTCCAACATAGTAGAAATTGACAACGACAAATTGAAACTGTCAGCAAAGGAAAAAGAGGAGATCTTAGAGAAATACTGCCATCATATGCATTTGTCTAAAGAAACTATTAAAGACATTGTTAAAACAGAGGCTTATTTTCCCTTGCTTTGTAATTTTTTTTCAAACAAACAAAATTGCAACAAGGAAGGAGTAAGTTTATTTAAACATCCCTTTAATATCATTAAAAAAGACATTGAACGTTTGAAAGAATTAGACAAAAGGAAATATTGCGGCTTAATTTTGATTGCAGTCGTTAACAATAATTTGAATGTCGAAACTATTAGGAGGAATGAAAATTCTTTAGAGAAATACAGAATCATATTAGGAATATGTGAGCTACCGGAAAATACAAATATATCAGTCATTCGCAATGCACTCCAACAACTAAAAGGGTCTTATGTCAAACGTGTCGGACACACTTTCCAATTCCTTCACGACTTTATTATGGAGATAACAACCCTTGTGTGTGGTGTTGATTGTCCACAAGAGACAATACAGTACGCACACAGTGGTTTTCTGAGACGTCGGGTGAAGATAGAAGACGATACAGAAAAGGAAGATCGCGATCCCTTCACTGTTTACCTTCCTGAAGAGTACATTGGGGATCTTGTGGACAGGTTTATCATTGACATGCAAACAGAACATATTGTAGATGTTCTACTCAATCCATGTTTAAGGAAAGAGAATGTCATCAAATGTTTTAAGGAAAAAGTAGATTCGCTTCGAAAGATTCTTGTCAGAATTAAGTGTGAAATAGATAGATCGGAATTTGAAAGCTCGTTCAAACGCTTTGGTTTGTCTAGACTTGGTTTCTTAATTGATTTAAAAGAAGAAATATGTCCTTTGATTGGATTCATAATATTTTGTCATGATGACATTTCTTCATTTTTCTTGAATAAACTAAATCAAACAATGTTAAAAGATTACCATATCGTTTCTGCCTTATGTGCAAATGGTAAGACAAGCCTATTAAATTCTCTCAGCGAGGAATACAAAAAAAACAGCAATGATGGGGTAATTTTTTACCAATTCATATTGCTTCTGTATTTCATAATATTTCAATAATAGAGGAATTAGTAAGACTTGGTGCTGACGTTAACGAGTTCACAACTAATGACAAATGGACTCCATTATCACTTGCTGCTGCAAATGACGAGGATCATTTAAAAGAGGCCGGGATCGACACAAAAACTGGAGAAAGACGTAATAAAACCATAATGTGCTTATTAAATAATGGTAGCGACATCAATTTATACAAAAGGAATGGATGCAGTCCTCTTTGTATAGCTTGTCAAAATGGACATGATAGCACGGTACAACTGCTACTGAACAACGGTGCTGACATCAATTTATGTGATAATGATGGTGACAGTCCTCTTCATATAGCTTGTCAAAATGGACATGAGAACACGGTGCAACTGTTACTGACCAATGGTTCCGACATCAATTTATGTGAAAATAATAGAGCCACTCCACTTCATATAGTTTGTTATAAGGGTCATGATAGCATGGTACAACTGTTACTAAACAACGGTGCCGACATCAATCGATGTTATAATGATGTAGCCAGTGCCCTTCATATAGCTTGTGAAAATGGACATCATAGCACAGTGCGACTGTTACTGAAGAACGGTGCCAACATCAATATATGTGATAATAATGGAGTCAGTCCTCTTTTTGTGTCTTGTCAAAAAGGACATTATAGCACGGTTCAACTGTTACTGAACAACGGTGCCGACATTAATTTATGTGAAAATGATGGATACAGTCCTCTTTGTGTAGCTTGTTTTAATGGACATGATAGCACAGTAAAAGTGTTACTGAAGAGTGGTGCCGACATCAATTTATGTAACAAGAACGGATTCAGTCCTCTTTGTGTATCCTGTTATAATGGACATGATTTCACGGTACAACTGTTACTGAAAAATTGTGCTGACATCAATTTTTGTGATAATGAAGGCAATAGTCCCCTTTTTTTAGCTTGTTATAAGGGACATGATTGCACGGTAAAAGTGTTACTGGACAACGGTGCTGATGTCAATATACGAAACAAGAACGGTGAATGTCCTCTGTCGATAGCTAAAAGGAATGGACATGACAAAACAGTCCAACTGTTAATTGACAATGGTGCCTCATAAATCTCCTGAGACTCGTATCGTTTATCAAAATCCTCTTTAAGATTCTTAATATAATGATGACTACTTCTACTAAATTATTCGAATCATTTCGAATCAAATAACTGTACATTTTTTTTTTGATAGAAATAGTTCACACTAACAATTAATTTATCAGAATTTTACTATTGAATTTTAAAATATATAGAATAATTTGAAGTACCTTATCTTAAAATGTGTAATTTGCATGAAAAAAAGTGTAGATTAATATCTTTAGAATGTTTCATATACATATGTTTTTATTAAATGACAAATGAAACAAACCTTGGTAAAAAAAATGACAATTACAATTTGATTCATGTTTTATTGTGTAAAAAGAATAGATTTTACTGCTTAGTTTTTAATCATTTATTACAATTTTCACAAAAATGGATTTTTAGGTGAAAAATATTTGTAAAGAATCTGAATGATTGTCTCAGAAAGGCAGAATTTTGAATATCATAGAAATGTATATTGCATTGTTTGAATGTAAATTGGCAAAAAAAATAATTACACCATTCCAGGCATTCAATTTTCTTAACAAGTGTTCACCATATATTTTTGTCATTTGATATATGGAATTGTAAAAGTATCTAATATATTATATTGAGTATACTATATTCTTGAAAATAAAGATCAGTGTTGTTTATTATTATTATAGACAAGTACAAATGTCCCATTTTTTTTATTTTGAAGTACTGTTTAAACGTATAGATCATTACTTAGTTAATGATTGAGCTTAAAAGCAATATTCTTTTTAACCATGATCGAAAGGTTTAATTAATTATTATTGTTTGATAATTCATGCTTATTGGCATCTGTATCACTTGATTTTATTTCTATGTGATTCTGATTTGGAAATCAGTTAGGTGACATGTCAAAAACGCTTTGCTCAAAAACATGTGAGCAAAAGTCATGTAATTCGCGTGCAGCATAGTACAATGAATTGTGTGTCATTGACATCAGAGCAAATATCGACATTGTTTTTGAGTTAACATATTGAGTGTTAAAATAAATTAACAATAAAGAACTTATTTAAGAGTAATATATTACTTAACACTCATCGGAAAACTGACACACAAATTGTTTAATACTCTTCTTAAAAACATAAGATATTTGTCAAGAAATCGATTTTTACCTCATCTCAATGAAGTTGAGAGGGCTTATGTGATACTCTCGTCATCGACGTATAAGATTAAGGTTAACTTTTTGGTGTAGTTTTCTTTTTAACTATTTTTATGCCCTTTATTGATTAGACATGCATGGAAGATACTTTAAGGGTGTTTCATTGTACCAGTCAAATTTTCATATGCTGCAATCTCGGCAAAGGTGTTATTGGAGCAAGATTAACACTTTTCTGTGCAGTTTTTGTTGCAGGTTTCATTTCCAATTAAGTATGAGCCATATGTTTACCAATTTTGCATGGATGATACATTTTAGTAAGCAGTCGAACAGAATTGCTTCGGATGCTGAATCTGACCTATATTTTTCGGACGTGTCAACAGGTTGATTGTTTTAGTTCAGGTTTCACTTCCAAGTAACTATGAGCCCTATGCTGAGCAAGTTTGCATGGGTGATAGATCTAAGGTTGCAAATTAATGGACTTGCTTCGGATGCTAATTTCTAAATACATTTACTAGATAATGGACCAGGTAAAAGTTATTATGGATGCAGGTCTCTCACAAAGAAACTATGAGACCTATGTTATCCAACCCTACACAAATTATCCATTAAGGAATGAACCTTTTAAACTTTCTTCAGATGCTGGATTTCAATAACATATTCTTGATTAGCGACTATTTTGAAGTTTTTGGATAGGTCTTTTTAAGTCTATTGCAAAGTAACTGCAATGCCTATCAGATCAAAATTGCATTTTTTGGATGTTAACCTTTAGAATGTTGGTTAATTGTGTGACTTTGCCTTACTAAAATACAACTATCATTGAGGTGAGCTCTGTAATCTTTGATTACCTAAATGTATTTTTGTATTTTACTCCAAACTTTTATTTAATTATGTCAAGGATTAGTCTTCAACTAACTGTTATGTCACTAAAAGTAAAGTCAAAGCACACCACTGCTTTCTCCATTGAGAGTACTGTGCAAATTCTATTGGACATCCATGCTGACATCACTTGATGTGATAATGATGGAAAGAGTCCTCATTATATAGCTTGTTATAATGGGCATGATAGCACGGTACAATTGTTACTGAACAACGGTGCCGAAATTTCTTTGAATCATAACGATGGTGCCAGTCGACTGTGGATAGCTTGTCAAATGGGCATGACAGCATAGTTAAACTTTTACTGAGCAAAAACCTTGAGATCAATTCATGTGACAAGGATGGAGTCAGTCCACTCTTTAAAGCTTGTTTTAGCGGTCATGAGATCACGGTCCAATTGTTTATGGACAACGGCGCCGACATTAATCTGAATGATAACGATGATTCTTACTGAGCAAAAACATTGCAATCAACTCATCTGACAACGGTCATGAGAGCACAGTTAAATTGTTACTGAACAACAGCGCCGATATTAATTTAAATCATATCGATGGTGCAAGTCCACTGTGGATAGCTTGTCAAAACGGGCATGACAGTATAGCTAAACTCTTACTGAGCAAAAACATTGAGATCAATTCATGTAACAAGAATGGAGTCAATCTACTCTTAATGGCTTGTAAAAATAGATACGATAGCACGGTTCATTTGTTACTGAAAAACGGTGCCGACATCAATTTATGTGACAACGCACGAATCAGTCCACTCTATGTAGCTTGTGAAAGCGGTCATGAGAGCACAGTCCAATTGTTACTGAACAACAACGCCGACATTAATTTGAATCATAAGATGGAGTCATTCCACTGTGGATAGCTTGTCAAAAGGGGCATGACAGTATAGTTAAACTCTTATTGAGCAATAACATTGAGATCAATTTATGTGACAAGAATGGAGTCAATCCACTCTTTGTAGCTTGTGAAAACGGTCATGAGAACACGTTCAAATGGTTACCGGACAAGAACGCCGACATTAATCTAAATCATAACGAGAGTGCCAGTCCACTGTGGATAGCATGACAAAACGGGCATGACAACATAGTTAAACTCTTATTGAGCAAAGATATTGACATTAATTTGTGTAACAAGAATGGAGTCAGTCCACTTCATATAGCTTGTTAAAGCGGTCATGAGAGCAATGTGCGAATTTTACTGGACAACCATGCTGAAATCAATTTATGTGATAATGATGGAGCCAGTCCTCTTTATATAGCTTGTTATAAAGGACATGATAGCACGGTACAACTGTTACTGAACAACGGTGCCAACATCAATTTATGTAACAAGAACGGTGAAAGTCCTCTGTCAATAGCTAAAAAGAATGGGCATGACATAACAGTCCAGCTGATAATTGACAATGGCGCCTCATGATTTACCTGAGACTTGTATACCAAAATCCTCTTTAAAATTCTGAATGTAAGGATGACTGCTTCTACTAAATATTCTAAATCAAGATTCGAATCATTTCAAATCAAATAACTGTACATTTTTTCTAATAGAAATATATAACACTTACAATTTTATCAGATTTTAACTGCTGAATTTTAAAATATTTAGAATTATTTGAAGTACCTTAGTTTAAAAATGTGTCATTTGCATGAAAAGGAAAGTGTAACGGTAAAATATTATCTTAATAATGTTTCATATGCATATATCTTTATTAAAGGACAGATGATACAAACTTTGGTTTAAAAAATGACAATTACAAATTGATTCATGTATTATTGAGTAAAAAGAATAGGTTTTACCGCTTACTATTTTATCATTTATTAAAATTTTCACAAAAATGGTTTTAAAAGTAAAAAAAAAATGTATATATTTTTAAGGATAGTTTCAGAAAGGCTGAAATTCGAATATCATAGAAATGTTTAATTGTATATTTTCAATGAAAATAAGCAAAAACATATATACCAATCCAGGCATCCAATATTTGTGTATCAACTGTCCGTAACATATGTTCACCATATATTTTTTTTTCATTCAATATAGAAGTGCAACACTAATTTATATATTTTACTGAGTAAGCTATATTGTTGGAAATAAAAATAAGTGATGTTTATGATTATAGACAAATAGAGATTATCTACCTTTTAGTTAGAGTTAGAACATAGTTCAATGATGTGTGGTATCTTTTCTTGTGTCTCATAGACATTTATATTAAATGCTGCTTGAAAGAATTATCAATAAACAAATAATTTAAGTGTCAAGCAAACGGTTGGTGAGGTTATATGTTACTGAGGATTTATAACGTAAAGACACACTATTTATTACTCTTCTTTAAACTATTTATAATGATATTAATCAAAGAATCGATTTTAGCTCATCTCAATGAAGTGTAGGGGGGCTTATGTGATATTCTCGTCGTTGATATCCTAGGTTAAGGTTTACTTTTTGGAGCAGTTTTCTTTTAAAGTACCGGTATTTTCTATCCCCTATCTTGATTAGACATGCATGGAAGATGTTTTTAAGGTGTTTCATTGTACCAGTCAAAGTTTCAGATGCTGCACATTCAGCAAAGGTATGATCAGATTTATGTTTTTGAAGCAAGGTTACCACTTTTAGGAGCACTTTTTGTTGCAGGTTTCATTTCCAAGTAACTATGAGACCTGTGGTTACCAAAGTTGCATGGATGATACATCTAAGATTGCAGTCTACCAGACTTACTTCAGATGCTGAATCTGACCTATATTTTTAAGATGTGTGAACAGGTTGAAGTGTTTGGTGCAGGTTTCATTTCCAAGTAACTATTAACCCTATGAGCCATGTGCTGAACAAACTTGCATGAATGATTCATCTTAGGATGCAAATGAATACATTTGCTTCGGATGCTAATTTTTAAATACATTTATTAGATAATGGACCATGGAAAAGTTTTGGATGCAGGTCTATCAGCAAGAAACTAAAATCCTTTATTAACCAAACTTGCATTAA